AGATGCCTGCTTATTCATGGTTGCTTAGGGAAGGCGTTTCCTTTAGTTTAGCCATTTAGGCACTGAGAGCTCTCTGCAGCCTTAGTTCAAGGGGGCCTGACTGCTGCTCAGGGTGATGGACAACCTTGATGTAATCCACATGGTATGAGTTTTATAGGCACGTAGAATGCAAGAATTAAAGGCCACAGAGACTTCTATGCAGATTTTGGAGGGCCAGGGGAAAGTCTTTAACAGTGGCATATTCTCTACCAGGAGCACATGAGGGGCTTGTGAATTAAGTTGTAAGAATGAAGATGCTCTGGAGATTCTGGGGTATGACAGGAATGTAGAGTGTCTGTTGAGGAGTGCTACATACAACAGGCAAAGGTAGTTCAAGAGAGAGGCCATGTGGCCTACAAATAGCAAGGTGGGGCTGCCCAAAACTTTTAGCACTCACGTCTTAACACAACCTGCCCTGGATGTTCAACACTCAGCTACAGGAGTTAACATTTACCCTGCTGGGTTTTGTCTTGCTTTGGTCCAATTTCTGGCTATTATTTCCTCCTATCTTTTGGGATGGGAATGTTTACCTTGTGTCCTTGTATTTTGGGGGTGTTTGGCTTTCTTTTTTGATATTTACAGAGCCTCACATATAAGAATTTGACTTGAGTTTCAGAGATTTTGGATTTTGAACTTTTATAGTGCTGGGATTGTTAAGAATTTGGCAACTCCTAGAGATGAATTCCTCCATTATAGTTGCCTGTGTATTGATGGTGCGGAGGGCATCCTTTCCTCTGAAAATATGCTTCTGGGTACCATTGAATTCATTTCTCTGCTTGTGTTTACTTTTGGCATTTCCACCACAGCCAGACCTCTGGGATTATGTTGCTTAAAGTTGCGCTTTGTAGAAAGCACATAGGACTCTTTATTGTTGACCTAGGTGGGTGGTTTGCACTCATCCTCATTTATCAGTTGCATATTGTGTGCAAGGATCATGATGGGTTTCATTTAATTTAATTTTATAGCAACATTATGAATTAAGTAACAACTTTATGAATTATCCTCATTTTATGGATAAGAAATCTGAGGCACAGAATCAATACATATCTCATCCAAGCCACTGATGAAGAGATTGGGGTTAAAGTTCAGGAGGATCCTCCTCTTCTGTCTGCCAAGTGTCCTTCCAAGGCTGGCAAATTGTCTCAACTTCATGTTTTCAGATCATGATGGGTTCATGGAAACTAATGGATCTGCTTCATTACAAAACATAAGTCCAAAGGAAGTTGGAAGTGGCTTCTGGGCATTTTTACCTGACCATGCTCTCTCCTGGCTACTTCCTTCTCCTGAGGACTCATTGGCAGAGCGGTCTGTGGAAACATCAGCTGGGGAGAGAGCTGTTACCATCGCCTCTTCTCAGATCTTTTGTGAGATGTCTTAGAAACTTTTCTCTCATTGCTGAAAAAAAAAATACCTGACACTCAAATTTAAGGAAGGAAAGGTTTATCTACCTCACAGTTTGTGGAGGCTTCAGGCTCTAATCAGCTGGCTCCAAGGCATTCTGGCATGAAGGGCAACCGTTCAAGGTGGCAGAAAGCAGTAAAAATAGCAGAAGCAAAAGGGAGGAGAGCAAGTCTTTTTTTCTCCTTTACACTGTAAACAAGCTACCACACCATAGGGCTGGTGTAACACTCACACTGTCTCTTTTCCCTCCTCTTGCACAGGATGAGGATGTTTACAAAGTGAGGACCATGGTCCCCTACTGAATTTCTTCCTTAAAATTTTGAACTTTTGAAGCTGAGCAAAATCTCAACCATTAGAATCTATCTCTTGTCAACTTGGTAAGCAGACACATTTCTTAAAATTAATCTTCAGATATAAAGACATGCTTATTATCATTTCACAACTTGAATGTTATAACACAGGTTTAACAATTCTTATGAACCAGTATTGAATCTATCAACATTATATTACATTAGAGCTGTAAGATTTCACCCCTGACCCCTCAAAGACTCATGAATATCCATTTATGCAAAAAGCACTTAGTCTATCTGAAAGAGTCCTACTAGTTTTAGCACTGCTGAAAAGTCCAAGCCCCAAGTATCCTCTGAGATATCCTCCAAGTTAACAAGAGGTAGATTGTCATGGTTGAGACTTTGAACAACTTGAAAAGTTCAGAATTTTAAGAAAGAAATTCAGCAGGAGGGCATGGCCCTCACTTTGTAAGTATAAAGCAAACTCTTAGCTGAAAGCCCTTGTACAAATGAAAAATTAAACACTTCCAATATGCAATTTCAAAAGATAAACATTTTCTTTCCAAGAGTTACAAACAGGGAAATATGAAGGATCAGGACCAAAGCAAGTCCAAAATCCAGCAGGGCAAAGTTCCTGTACATCATTTGAGCAATCTATAGTTCCATGTACATCATTTGAGCAATCTATGGCCAATTGTGAGCTCGAAATGGCTTGAGTAACTCCATCCCTACAGCACAGCCAGTAGTTATAGCTTCCATGGTTACTCTCTTGGGCTGACTTTGCTCCCTCCTTGTAGATTTCTTTAAATGATCCCTGTTCATGGCTTTTCCAAACTTCTGGGGTTTCCATTGCATCTTTGTCTTCACACTCACAGCTTCACACACTGCCTTCTTAGGGGCACACTCTCTGGCCTCTCAGGCCTTCTGAAATCAGGGTGGAAGCCTTCTTAACCCAATAACTCTTGCATTCTGCATGTACCTAAAACCAGCACCATGTGGATGATGCCAGGGTCTGCTGCTAGCTGGAGCAGTAGCCAGGATTTCCCCTCTCTTGGCTGTAGGGGTTGAGTGTCTGGATCGCGGAGCACTCTGAATCCAATTTTGAAGGACAGATTTTCTACGATGCTGCCATCATTGAACATGATGCTGCCACTGCCATTCTGGGGCATGATAAATCTGTGATTTTCTTCTCAAAGCAAAGTCTTTCACTTTTGCAGTTTTGAGGCTGCAAAGAGTGGAGGCTTGCTGCTTTCTGAGTTTCCCCAAAACCATCTTTTACATTCTCCTGTTCCTTCTCAGCAATCAAGGTTTCCTCAGCTCTATCTTCACAGTCCACAGCTTTACTGGAGCCTCTCTTATGGCCAGACTCGTGTTTTAAAACTTCCTGCTGAGCTCTTTGCTCTTGACTCTTAGCATAGATCTGGCTAAACACCCCCAACAGTAGCCATGCCACAGCCTCAACATTTAACTATCTTGAAATTTCTTCTGTCAGATTAATTAGTCCACCACCCTTAATCTTGGTCTCAGACAAAGTCTCTGGACATAAGTAAAATGCAGAAAAAAATCTATCTAGTAATTACACACATTACCTGGAGTCCAACAACCAATGCAATCTTTCTTCCCAGCAGAAATCTCCCAAACCTGGTCTTCACCAGCAGGACTTTTATCAGCCTTCTGGTCTTCTGAGCTCTGACCAAAATCTCCCATACAGAAAGTCAAAAGCATTCCAGCACTTCTTTGTCAGGTGACGTCTCTGAATGTTTCCATGGCTTTTCCCACAAGCCATTTCCTAAAGAAGAACAAAAGCCTGGTAGGACTTCAAAGCAATATGATAATAAATCAGCACTGGCTATTATAACATCTTATTTTCTTCAAAATAGCTATTCATACCATCACAGATAATAAAATCAAACAAAACAGAATAAAACCATTCCAACTGATGAATGAAAACATTATAAAGCTTCAAAGCAATGTAATGGGGAATCATGATTACCATAAAATTTTATGTACTCTTACCATTTCTTTCACTAGGGAGATCATACAGCATTTATACATGTGAGTTTCATTTATTTCACTTATGAGTATGGTCTCAAGTTGCATCCATTTATTTATAAATATCTCAATGTGATCATTATTTATAGCCGAGTAGTACTCGATTGTATAAAAATACCACAGCTTTTTTTATCCATTCCTCAGCTGATGGACACTTAGTTTTTTTCCACAATCTGGCTATTACAAATTGTGCTGCCATAAACATGGGCGCACATATCACTGTGTTATGCTGTTTTCAGTTTTTCTGGGAATATGCCTAGAAGTGGAATAGCTGGTCAAATGGGACTTCTAATCCCAGCTTTTTGAGGAATCTCCAGACTGACCTCCAAAGTGGTTGCACCAGTCTACATTCCCACCAACAGTGCAGGAGAGTTCATTTTTCCCACAGCCTCTCCAGCATTTGTTGTTGATAGTTTCTTGATCCTGGCCATTCTTTCTGGAGTCAGATGGAAGCTCAGTGTTGCTTTAATCTGTATTTCTCTAATGACTGATTTATTAATGATGATGAACATCTTTTCACGTATTTATTTGCCACTTGTATTTCTTCTGAGAAGTGTGTACTCATCTTAGATGCCCATTTTTGGATTGGGTCTTTGAATTTCAGGGGTCTGATTTTTTAAAATTCTTTATATGTTTTAGACAGAAGTTCTTTGTCTGAGGGACAGTTCACTAAGATTTTTTTCCTCAGTTTGTGGGTTTTCTTTTCACTATACTGGAGATTTCTTTTGACACACAGAAACTTTTTAAGAAGACATGATCTGAGTTATTGATTCTGGGAAGTATTTCCTGTGTGGTTTGATTTCTGTTCATGAGTTCTCTACTTACCCCTATGTGTTCAAGATTACTACCTAATTTGTCTTCCAATAGATTTAATGTTTCTGTTTTAATATTCAGATCTTTGATCCATTTAGATTTTAGTTTAGTATATGGTGATAGGCATGGGCCTAGTTTTAGTTTTCGACATATAGAGAGCCAGTTTATTAAAGAGACTATCATTCTTCCAGTGAATACGTTTGGTCCCTTTAGCAAAGATAAGGTGGTTGAATGTGTTTGTAGTTGGGTTTGTATCTTCTAATCTAGTCCATTGATCTTCAGATCTGTTTTTATTCCAGTAATATGTTGATTGTATTACAGTTGCTTTGCAGTGTAACTTCAAGTCAGGGATTGTGATGCCTCCTGCCTTGTCTTTGTGGCTTAGAACTGTCTTTGCTATTCTAGGTCTCTTCTGGTTCCAGATGAATTTTAGGAGTGATTTCTCTAGATCTAAGAGGTATGTTGATGGTATTTTCTTTGGGATTGCATTGAATCTGTATAACAGTTTTAGCAGAATAGCCATTTTCACAATATTTATTCTTCCTATTCATGAACAAGGGATGTCATTCCATTTTCTGAGATTGTCTTCAATTTCTTTTTCAGGGTATTATAATCTGCCCTATAGATCTTTTACTTCTTTAGTGAGACTAATTGCTAATAATTTCATTCTTTTGGATGCTACTATGAAGGGTGTGGCTTATCTTATTTCTCTCTCTGTGATTTTGTTGATAATGTATAGGGATGCTATTGATTTTTGAGTATTGATATGTATCCAGCTATTCTGAATTCACTTATTATATGTATTATGTCTAGGATATTTATTTTATCAATGGAATTTTGGGGGTCTTCTATGTAGAATATCATGTCATTTGCAAATAATGATGATTTTACTTCCTCTTTTCCTATCTTTACCTCTTTTATTTCTCTTTCTTGTCTAATTGCTCTGGCTAGTATTTCCAGTACCATGTTGAATTGGGGTGCTAATAAAGGACATCCATGTCTTGTGCCAGATTTTAAGGTAAAGGCCTTCATTTAATATGATGCTGGCTGTTGGTTTGTCATAGATGGCCTCCATCATATTGAGGTAAAGACCATCTATTCCAATTTTTTGTAAGGTTCTTATCATGAATGAGTTTTGTACCTTATCAAAAGCTTTTTCTGCATCTATACAAAGAATCATGAGATTCTTACTTTTGGCTTTATTGATATGGTGGATTATATTTGTTGATTTACATATGTTGAACCATCCCTGTATACCTGGGATGAATCCCACTTGGTTGTGGTGTATGATCTTGATTTGCTGCATCCTGTTTGCCTATATCTTATTGAGGATTTTTGCATCTGTGTTCATTAGGGAGATTGGCCTGTAGTTCTCTTTTTTAGTTGGGTCTTTCTCAGGTTTTGGTACGAGAGTGATATTTGCTCCCAGGAATGATTTAGGAAGAATTGCTTCCCTTTCAATTTCATTGAAGTGTTTGAGGAGTGTCAGCATTAAGTCTTCTTTTATTTGTTGTAGAATTCCGCAGTGAATTTGTCCAGGCCTGGGGTCTTCTTTGTAGGTAAGGACTTAATTATATTTTCAATTTCATTGATAGAAATTGGGTTATTCAGCAGTTTTACACCTTCTTTGCCCAGCTTTGGTACTTCATATGTTTCTAGGAACCTGTCCATTTCTTCTGTGTTATCGAACTGTGAGAGTAGAGGTTTTTGAAATAGGTGTTGATGATCTTCTGTATTCCCACAGTCTGTAGTGATTTCACCTTTTTCTTTCCTTATTGCATGAATTTGAGTTTTTTCTTCCCTTTTTTTAAATAGGGTTGGCTAGGGGCTTAATCAATTTTAATTATTCTTTCAAAGAACCAACTCTTTGATTCATTGATTCTTTGGATTATTTTCTTTGTCTATATTGCATTAATTTCTGCTCTGATTTTTACAGTTTCTTCCCTTCTTTTGCAATTTCATTGCATCCCACAGACTCCGGTAAGTTGTATTTGTATTTTCATTTTGCTTGTAGGTATTGTTTAATTCCTTCTTCAATTTTCCCTGTGACCTACTGATTGCTAAAGGGTGTATTACTCAATTTTCATGTTTTTGTGGGGTTTTTGCAGTTTGTTTTATCATTTATTTCTAGTTTCATGGTGCTATGATCTGATAACATGCATGTGATAATTTAAACTCTTTTGCACTTACTTTAATATGTTCTGTGAGCTAGTTTATGGTCTATTTTAGAGAATGTCACATGTACTGCTGAGATGAGTGTATATTCTGATGTTGTTGGATGGCACACTGTATACAATTATCAAATCCATTTGTTCACAGGTGCGATTCAGTTCGGTTATTTCTTTGCAGATTTCCTGTCTGATTGATCTGTCCCTTGGTGTCAATGGTGTGTTATGGTCTCCTGTAGTTATTGTGTTATTAGTTATTTGATTTTTCATTTCTGTTCATACTTGCTTTGTATAGCTGGGTGCTCTGGATTTTGGTGCATGTATATTTAAGATTGTTATATTTTCCTCTTGAAGTTTTCCCCTAACTAGTATGTAGTGACCTTCTTTATTTCTTCAGATCATTCTTGGCTTTGAAGTTCACATTGTCTGGAAACAGAATAGCTACCCCCACTTTTTTGGGGGGTTCCTGTTTCATGGAGTATTGTTTTCCATCCTTTGACTTTCAGTCTGTGCATTTCCTTTTGGGTTAGATGAGTTTCTTGTAAACAGCACATGTTTGGATGCTGTTTCTTGATACATTCTGCCAATCTGTTTCTTTTAATTTGTGACTTGAGGCCATTTACATTAATGGTTATAACTGTTATGTATTGGTGTATCATTGGCCTGTTATCTTTATGCTGTTTCATCCTTATCTTTCCATTCTGTTTAATTGTCTGTCTTGTTTAGTGGTTTTTTTCCTATGTGTATCTAGACTGTCTTTCAGCATTCTTTGCAGGGCTTGTTTGGTGATCATGAAGTTCTTCTTTGAAGTTGTTCTTTGTCATGGAAGTATCTTATTTTTCCATCCATTTTGAAGGACAGTTTTGCAGGGTACATCAGTCTAGGTTGGAAGTCATTTTCCTTTAGGATCTGAAATACTTTACTCCATGCTCTTCTTGACTTTATTGTTTGTGTTGAAAAGTCTGCTGTGATTCTGATAGGTTTTCCTTTATAGGTGTTCTATCTTTTCTCTCTAATAGCTTTTAATATTGTATTATTATGTTGAATTTCTGGGATGGTGATTATTGTATGTCTGGGTGTTATTTCATTTTGGTTATGGCTATTTGGAGTTCTATACGGTTCACTAATCCAAATTCAGTTTCAATTCTTATGTTTGGGAAATTTTCAGCTATTACTTCTGTAAATAGCCTCTTGATATCATTTGTGTTGTCCCCTTCATTTCATTTAGCCCTATCAATCATGTTGTTTTCTCTGCATCATCTTGCAGCTGTTGAATTGTTATTTCCAGATTCTTTGTTATTTTTTAAAATTTTATTTAAAGAAAGACTAAGCAGAACAGAAAATAAGTAGAAATAATACATACGTTCAGAGAAAAAAACCCAGTAGAAATCACTAATTTATTTTTAATATTGTTGTTTTACAAATAGTTGTTCAAGGTACAAGAGTGAAATATGTAAAGTGGTAATTCAAACAGCAAGACTGCAAACAGTTCTGTTCAACTGTCCAACAAAAACTTAGTAACATGGTTTTCAATCCTATACACTTAAACATACATGCAGTTATCCATATCTTAATTTATGTTTGGATTAAACAAACTGAAGTAGGTTAAAATCATTCTGAACAAAGAATAATAGTATTGCTGGATTTCACATCATGATGCTCTGTGATCATCATTGGGTACTGTAGTGCCTTTTTTAAAAATTTAATTTAAAGAAAGGCTAAACAAAACAGCAAATGGGTAGAAATAATATATAATTTCAAAGAAAAAATAAACAGAAAGAAATTACTAGTTGATGATTACAGATTGCTTCTTACAAATAGTTGTTCAAGATACTAAACTGGAGTATATAAAGTGGGGATTCAAACAGTGAGATTGCAACCAGTTCTGTTCAACTATCCAACAAAATCTTAAAAATCTGATCATGAATCCTATACACTTAAACATAAGTGTAGAGGAATGCCCATCAGAATAACAGCAGACTTCTTGACACAAGCCATCAAGTCAAGAAGAGCCTGGAGCAAAATATTCCAAGCCCTGAAAGAAGATAACCTCCAATTATGTTGACATTGAATAAACCCAAGCAGGCTAATATCACTCTGAACAAAGAAAATTACTATTGCTGGGTTTCACATTATGACACTCCAGGATCAGCAATGGGTATTTTAGTGTTTCTTTTTCTTCAGGGTATCTGTTCATTTCATCATGTGCCATAAGATCTGTTCTTATAAACTGTTTACAGATTCTACACATGCACATGTCTTAACATGTATTTCTATCCTTTTTATATTAGAGAGAGAAACAAAACAAAGCATGGCAAAACAAAACATATTCCTATAAACACATGCCATGAAATAAACATATAAAACAGTTGTACAAAGAGTTCTACCATGATTCCTGTGTTGTCTCTTGTTATCTCCAATAAACTTGGCTATATCATCAGACATAGTATAATTGAGCATATCAGTACATAACAGTATTAATAAAAACACAACTTTGTATATACTATAGAACTTCAAAAACTGGCAGTTATCAAACCAGAATGTGTATCGTAGAATCTTATCATCTTCAATGTAGTTGCCTATACTCTCAGACTTGATACTATCAGTCATATCAGTTTTGAATAAAATCTTCCCTGCCTCATTTCTGCTATGCTCTTGTTTGCCATCAGTTGTTTGTTTATCTTCTTCATTCTGTTTTCTGCTCCATTCATTGAGGCCTCTCTGCCACTGTTCCTGGAATCCTAGTACTTTTCTCTCTCTCTAGAATGCCCTGCAGTATTCTCTGTAGACTGGGATTGGTGGTTGCAAATTTCCCAAATTTCTCTTTGTCTTGGAAGCATCTTGTTTTTCCATTAATTTCTAGAGACAGTTTAGCAGGGTATATCAATCTGGGATGGAGGTTATTTTTTTTTCTCAGGGCTTGGAATATTTCACTCCAGTCTCTTTTTGACTTGATGGTTTGTGTCAAGAAGTCTACTGTTATTCTGATGGGCATTCCTCTATAGCTTATCTGTTTCTTGTCTCTAGCAGCTTTTAATATTTTGTTCTTATATTGAATTTCTGGGATCTTGATTATTATATGCTTGAGTGTAGGTCTGTTTTGGTTGTAGGTGGCTGGAGTTCTGTATGCCTCATATATCAGAATATCGTTTCCTTTTTCTATGTTTGGGAAGTTTTCCTTAATTTTTTCTGTGAATAAACTTTGTAGTTCCTTTGTTCGTACCCCAGCTTCTTCACTCACATTCTTTATTCTGAAGTTATAGATCCTTTTGTCATCTTCTAGCCTTTG